ATCACCCCCTGTATCCTAAAATGCCTCTCCAATTTGGACACCCATCTAAATGCATCATTCCCTTCAAAAACAAGAATTTATAACTTCCACCACTTGTTCCCATTTTTTATTTCCAAGTCCACCTCCCATTCAAACTCTATCAAGTTTAATATTCGAAGCATTGCCTTTTTTTTTTTCTCAACCCATTATCTTCCATGGCCTTCGTTAAACTCTCCACTAATTTCTCCAGCTTAATGAGGTGTGGTTCCTGTTGGGTATACCGTGTTTCCCCTTCTTTTTGCTAGGTCCAACTCGCAACTATGTGCTCCAATGATTCCAGCCTTGCTTCCATTCTCGTGTTCACCATAAATTGTGTTATAGCACCCACAATGCCTTAAATGGGAGCTATAATGCCAATTTGATAGAACTCATACCAAGAAAAAAAAAAAGGAGGAAGAACAGTATTTATTTATTGATTATGGATAAAAACAGAGAGAACAATGTTGTCCTCATAGTTCAAGGAATTAGGAACCTCCTAAACAATACTCAATATTTTTCATGCCCTCCTCTCTAATTATTTTCTCCTATATAGTTTTTGCCTCCCTTCTCTAATCCTAATTAAATCCTAAAAAGAAAAAGATAAATCTCCTAAAAGATAAAAAGAAAACCTCCTTATAACAAAAGATAAAGATAGTAATATCCTAATAATAGAAAGATAATGATAACGATTGCCAAAATAACTAAAAAGATAATGATCAACTAATTCCTTTACATCTTCCTCCTCCTGTAGACTTGCCTAACAAGGGTCCACACACTATCAGTTTACTTGGAACCACTCAAGTAAAGAAACATTTTTGACAACACTTTCAAACAAAATATCTTCACCAACTCTGTTACTTTTTGGGTATAAAGGTGACACAATTCGAGGACAATATGATTATCTTTGAGAAAAAGTATGCAATGGAAATCTTAGAAGAAATGAGATAGATGAGTGCAAAGCTCGTAGACACACCTATGGATCCTAATACCAAACTTCTACCAAAGGGAGCCACTTTTAGAGATGCAAAAAACTAGTTGGTAAATTGAATTATCTTATTGTAATTCGTCTAGAAATTTCCTTGCAATTAGTATGGTAACTCGTAAGTCAATATTTTAACTCTTAGCCCCTGTTTGCTTCCACGGATTTACTATTCACAACGAAGGAAAGGCGAAGAAAAGAGGTGTTCGTTTCCAGTGATTTGCAACGACAGAAAGGCGAAGAAAAGGGAGGAGAGGCGTCGTGGCCGTCCTCGCACAAAAGCGAAGAAAAGAGAAGAAAGCCACGTAGGATTTTCGCTTACCCGAAAATGCCCCTGTGCCATGCAGCAGAGGAAACATAATCGATTATGGTTAGCCACATAATCGATTATGGCCTAGCATAATTGATTATGCTGGGACATAATCGATTATGCAAGGCCATAATCGATTACGTGGCCAAACATAATCGATTATGCTGGGGTATTTTTGCTTGCAGTGGAACCCAGAACGGCCCGTTCCAAAAATGAATTTTATGAGCAATATGCGAACCCAGAACGGGCCGTTCCACTTTGGGAACGGGCCGTTCCAATTTTGGAACGGACTGTTCTGGGTAGCAAATTTTGGGATGGGAAATGAGTCCAGAACGGCCGTTCCGGATTCGAAACGGGCTACTCTGGCCACATTAATTACTTAATAAATAATGATTATTTAATACTCTTTTTCATATATATAATATTAATATTTAATATATAAACCCTAAACCCTAAACCCTAAATAATTATATTTAATTTATATATATATATATATATTAAATATTTAATATTTAATATATATATGTATATATATTTATAAAATAATTTCCAACTACTTTAGCTATGTCCACAAAGGTTACAACTTACAAGTAATATTTATAAAATAATCATAAAAACATGTAATTGTTGGGTCATCAAATAAAAAAGAAGATATTTGTATGACTTGGCAGCCTTATTTTGTATATATTTTATGGCCTACATTAAACAATGAAGTTAGGACTTTTCAATCAAGAAGTATAAAATGTGGTTTATGTTTGTTAAAATCTTGTAATGCTGATATGTTGGGACTTTTCCCCAGTCCTCACTCCTCACAAAGTAAATCTTGCAGCGACAGTTCTAATGTGTAAAACATAGTCCCTGAATTATCTGGAGAGATCCTTACAAATACCCTTTGTGATGATGTTGAGAAATAAATGTTTTGATTAGTTAATGCAATGGAGGATACTTTTGTACAGTACCTTTTCGTCATTTCCTGTAACAATGCTTTTATTCTGCAATGTAGGCAATGCCTTTTACTAATGGTATAAAATGCTGTACAAGTTTCTGTGTTAAAGCTTATGAATATTAATTTTGTTTTATACTTATTGGCTTATTGCAGGTTCAGATCTAGATCCCTATGTATTATTTAGGACTGTAGAGATTGTCCATTCAGCCTATAGAGATGGACATATAGCAATTGCAGATTACTTGAGTGTCTTCATCACCTTGGTCTTGCGTTTCAAAGTTTCTCCTGGTAGCTTACAAAGATTCATGTGAATTACTTGTTTGAACTTATAACATCTGATAATATCTATTTCTTGTTTCACTTCTCCAATTTAGTTCTTTTGTCTATTATGATCAGTAGCATTGATCACATTCCTTTTCCACTCCCTCTTTTCGATCCTCAAATCCAAACAAAGCATTAATGTGAAAGTCATTGAGATGCAGTTATTCATATTTTGAAATATATCAAGGGATGGTCCAAGAAAAGGTCTCTTGTATGAAGGCAAAGGTAACATTAAACTTGTGGGATATTTTGGTGCAAATTAAGCGAGCTCAATTTCAGGAAAGAGATTAAGCGAGCTCAATTGCTGGCAAGAGATTACTTTTGAGTATTTTTTTTTATACGTGATAACTTGATCTCATGGAAGAGAAAAACTAGACTGTTGTGGTAAGATCACATGCAAAAGCAAAGTAAAGAGCTATGGCCTCAGCCATTTATGAATTTATTTAGCTTATTTTTTTATTAAAAGAATTAAGGTTTGGAGTTATTTGGAGATATCTCACAAATGACCGTAATTTGTGGTAATAATGCAATCTTGCTATTGCATCAACCCCAATATTTCACGTGTCAAAACAATTTGAGCCCTAAAATAAATGTTTGTCTATCCTAAATGAATGTTCGGAACTAAGAACAATTTCAAATTCTGGAATGATGAAAATCAAAATTCACTCATTTTACAATAACCAAAAACAATTATTTCAAATTTTAAAGGGATAAAAACTAAAGAAAAAGGTTTAGGAACTAAAACTAAAATTCACTCATTTTACATAAATTAAAGATAAATTTAACCCTATAATTTATATGTAACACATCTTGTGAAAAAACCCTTTAAGCTTGAAGTGTGGACCATCTTAAGAAAGTGGGTGGAGAGCCTAACTCAACTCACAAAACCGACTTGTAAGGTGAGAATTAATCCCCACTTATATAAACTAGTATGGTCATATCTGTAGTCAACATGGGATCTCCAACACACCCTTATGTCAAAGACAGGACATCTTGAGCATGAAATTTGTAGAATTGGACATCTATGAGTGACTTGCTAGCGGGTGGCCTAATTAAGCTCAACAACACTTGCTAGGATAAGTTCTGATACCATCTTAAGAAAGTGAATTAGAGTCAAAATCAACCTTACAAATTGTAAGGTGAAGATTTGCTCCTCACTTATATACACTATATTGGTGATATCACTAGTCAATGTGAGATCTCCAACAAACCATACAAAGGCCCACCCTACCATGTGTATAAATTTAACTTTTATTTAGAAGAATGAGGACCAACAAGAACCATAATCAAAATCACAAGGTCATAGAAGCTTTGATACTATGTCATGAACCAACTATCTCAAAAACTTAAATGTTAATGTAGACACATTAATGGTTTTATATTACATCTATAACACACATAATCTTAGAAAGCAAAACTTTTCATAGAAAAAACAACACTGAATTTTTCCCAACCTCACAAAACACCATAAATGGTGAGTTTCAATTTTTCCTCACATAAAGCATTGTTCAAACATTAAATCCCATGTCTTTTAAAGTCCCACGTTAGGTGTTACACCTTATTAGGCAAGGAAGAGGCAAATTTTAAAATCCTTTCCTCCCAAAGATGTCAAATACATAACATGCCCATACTAACACTTTCCTTCCAATTCCAAGTTAGCTCAACCAAAAAAGCCAAACCCAAGGCACTACCTAACATATATAGAACACCCATACTAGATCATTATGACAAATCAACAAAGGGAGAAAATGATCGCCTTGCCAAAGTGCTACAACTTTTCACTGATACTAACCATTTGTTGATGGTATGAAGCTAGTGTTGTAGAATATTACTTTGTTGATGCAAGTTAGAGTACGCATCTGCTTGTGGTCTAGTTGGGATTGCAAGATCAAGCCAAGCAGTTTGATCATGACTATTGTGGATTTCTTTGTTCAAATCAGTCCAAACTCTAGAGGTGTTCAAGTTCAAGTGTTAATTTACTTATGAATTTGTTCAATTTGGGATTCTATTCAATTTGAGAGCAAGAGATGTGGCTAATAATTAATTCAATTTTTGCAATCCCTAATATAAAGTATCATCATTTAAAATCAACCTCACAAGTCCATTGACTCGTGTTCATAATTTTCTCAACAAAATTATTTTGGGTTCTAATACTGAAGAAGCGCTATACTTCCCATGACATTTGAATATCAACAGGGAAGTTGTTGATTTAGTTAGGATTTTTTTATGTTTTTAATTTGAAATCAACCAGTTCAGATACAGAAATATTTTGTGCAGTTAGAAGGGAATTTGTATTCACCAAAGTAAATCAAACAAGATACGAAATTGATAACATAAATCAACAGCAAGTCAAAATATAGCATAAGATAAAACAAAAGGAACAAAATTTTAAACATATAAACCAAGGTGAGAAGGTAACCATTGACCTTTGTGAAGAACTTCTGTGCATGGCTCCTGATTTGAACGGCAGTCTTTGTTCCTATATGCTCTGTACAGCAAAATTAAAACACCAAGAAGGGGGCCAGCCCATGGAAGAAAGAAAAAGACAGTTCTAGTTAAGAATAAATCAAATATGGAAATCAGTTAAGCCATTTTCTAATAGATGTTACACCAATAATCTTTAAAAAGGAAGAACAAGAGAAGATCTTCAAGTAGACATGATAAACATACTATCACCTTCTATGCGCTGCCATGCTCGTCCGTACAGTTTCAAAGCTTCTAGAAACCTATTATGCTCCTCCTCTGTCCATCGTTCTCTTTGCTTTGTGATTGTATATGGCTTTCTCGTCTGCAAAACCCAGTTAACTACTCAGACAACAATACAAAAACTTCATTAACTCCCTTTCACGAGAAGCTTCCCACATATCACAATAACTCTAACCTTAACAACCACTTCTTCGCCAGAGGAGTATGCGTCCATTACAGGACGTGAGCAGCTAGCGCTGCTTCAGATCTTCCCTGACAAGTAGTGGATACAGGGAATACCTCCTTTCATTTTTGGTGACACGTAACACAGTAAATAGTAAAGCCGTCGTGGTGAAAGTGAGCAGAATCTGAACAAGGTATTGTGATGATGCTACTGCAAAAGAAACAAAGCGAGAACAATAGGAAGAGATCCGTTTCTGTTTTGTATAAGCTGGAATAAGCATTCCAATTCACATGTCACACGAAAAATATTACACAAAAGACGAAGAAGAAAGAAGAAATAAAGTTCAACAAATTTCAAGAATCAACCGCAACAGATAGAGGGGGAGAGAGAGACGCTTCTCCTCCGAATGAATAAAAGAAAATTTCCTTAATCAGAATCCTCACCAAAATGAACTCGACAGCGGCAATACCTTTCAAACGCGCAAAAGAGAGGGAAACTACAATTAGTACAGAGACAAAAAATCACATCACAACATCAACAATAACAACCATTTCTATCTTCACTTTTCACAAATACTTTACTAATCACTGCAAATTTTGAATCCTCCTGTTTGGTTGCCGAGAAAAAATAATCACAAAGCAACTCAAAACCAGCGAAATTCAACTCAACAGCGTCGCGCTGTGAGTTCTGACAGAACCTGTTACATCCAAATCCAGATGAGGTAAATCCGTTCGCAGTTTCATTTATGGCGGTTCAATTTTCTCGGAAACCAAACAACAAATAAATGAACAAAAATAAAATAAAAAAGGAAAACGAATACCTCGAAACAAAACCATGACGTGGAAGAAGAAGTAGAACCTCTCGGGAGAGCGATCATCACCGGACACTCGCCGGAGGACTCATTTCCGGCAATGGCGAATCGAATCGAGTTTAGATCGGAAACCGAAAAACAAAACAAAAAACAAAAATTCAAAGGTTGCGAAGTGGAATCAGAGGTGAGAAGAGAGGTCTCGCTGAAACGAAACCAAAAACAGAAGCAGAAATTGCAACACACACACTCACCCAAAGTGTTTAAGCGCGAGGAGCAATCTCAGCCACTATAATTTCGTGTGGGTTTATTTTTTTTCTCTAAAAAATTAACAACTCGTTATATATTTTTTGAGACGGAGAAGCCCCAGCTTATGGGATGGCGACAAGTGGCGCAGAGTTACTGGCTCGTGGTTTTGATGCTTACCTTTGCACTTTTCCTAATTATTTTTCTATTTCTTTTTTTATATATTTTTCTGGGTTGGGGCTTTTAATCTTTTCCCTCTCTCGAATCTCATCCACAAACTTCATGGCTGAGGTTTCAGGTCCGTAAAAGCGTTGCCAGCTTGTGACGGTGGGGTCCGCTGATGATGAGGCGAGGCCACCGTTGCACCCGGTTGCCCGGTTGTGCAACGCGTGGGCCACTTGGAGCTAGTGGTGGGATATTCGGCCAGTGTGGCCACTCGCTTCCAGGTTACCGGCACGTGGCGTTTCGCTTGAGGCTTTATTGGTTGAAGTTCCATTTCTGCGTGGGGTGGACACGTGCACATTTTTAGTGAGCGAGAATTTGAGATACTGTGATCAAGTGCGTGCCTGTACAGTTTTTGCAGTGCTTTTGTTTTCACGTCCATTATCTCAAAGTTTTCTCACGAGTTAATCTTTTTTTGTTTTTGACAGATTCTTATCAGCTAATTATATATCCTTATACCATTCCGTATTTTATTTTTGGAAAATAACTTAAATAAATATTAAACAAATATATTTATTGTGGTTATATATTAACTAGTATTTTTATTTGTGCATTACACAGGTTAAGTCTTTATTATATATTAATAAGATTGACATATTTTATGTTTTTATATTTTATTTAATAAAAATATTTACAAATTATAAATATTTGTTACATTAAATAATATTATATTTAATTTTTAAAATCTCAAATTTTAA